ATGGAAGTGGTGAATTATAAAAACCTGTAGAGAGTGAGGAAACAGACGAAGAAGAGAACGAAGGCGAAACTTTAAGTGATATTGAAAGAGAAGTATCGAGGATAACATCTCCTCGGCATTCAGAACAATCACCGGTAACAGAGCCGTCCGTTTCTTTCTTTGTTGGAAATAATGATGTAGTCGAAACAGAGCATCGAACTCTGTGTGTATTCGAGTGTGAAATTGCGCGTGATTCAATAAATGTTCCATCCATAATCCAGACCAAATTCAGCAACATACATAAAATGGACAATGGGTAGAAAATATTATCTCGATTGGCAGAGAACCTTTTACAGGAAATTCTGGAATTTAAAACATACATGCGATGTCAAATAGTGAGGGTGCTGTTACCATATTATACCATAACTTATTATCTTTCAATACTTTGTTTGTGATTTAAAATAATTGAAGCCAAATGTAAATAATTACATCGCAAATATACCAGTGTGTAGTGTAGTAGGGTGCGGCACAAGAAAATCTTTAACCATACACAAGTACGTTATAAATAACATTCATAATATTGGTTATTGTTACCGGGAAAATAAAGAAAGATTTACATTATAATTAGCAAGGTTCTTATGTGCAGGTCATGAATGGATTTGACTTATTTAACTATATTTTTACGCTTAAATAATGTTAATTTATTAGCTGGGATTGTACATTATTTATGGACATTGATATCGATTTAATATGATTGCTTATATAAAATTTCTTATTTTATCATGCTACCCCGTTAAGTTTTATAAAACTTCTTAACGATGTGTTCGATATCTCGAACAGTCACTCAGTTCGCCCGCCTGGATTAAAAAAAGCCATGTGTCCCCAAAGCATCGGCCTTATCGAAAGGCTGTTTGAAGGGGCAATTGGCTATATACGCGGCTGAGGCTGCCGTCAGGGTAATTAAGTCGAAGAGAAAGACTAGCTTTGTGGGGCTAATCATTGATATGAAAAGCGCATTAGCTTTTTATCGACATCTTGTCGAAAACACAAAAATATTAAAATATTTGCCACTGTACAAGATCGCCCAGGATCAAGTCGAGCTATTTTTTTTTTTGGCTATAAGAGCTCGAGGAGTGTCTAACAATAATCCAAATGCCGTTCAATTTAATGCTGCCTTCAAAAGGCTTCTTATTCGAGCCGAAATTCGCGACGAAGGGCTCGGCAACTGCGTTGCCTTGGAGCAAGTTAAAATTTTAAATTGCACTAGCACTAGCCCACAAAAAACCTTGAACGATTTAACCGAAAAAAAAAATTTGGTTGAAGATCCAGAAGATGACAGCACCTTATACGAGGAATACATAAATTGCTTAAATAGCGCTCTTTCCGTATATGCTGACTCAGTTGTCACTTACATCGCAGAATTTGTATCGAGAAAACTATCCCGCAATATAAAATGTCAGACGTGTGCTTCGTTATTGTTTGGAGATCCGAACAGCAATTTGAAAACGCTGATTCATTTTAAAACAAGAGGTGGACTGAAATACCCATCGAAAGATGTGGAAGATATAACGAAAAAGACAGAAAAGATCATTAAACCTAACTTGAATAAGTCGATGTCCCAAAACTATTATGTATCCTACCGGACTCGGTCAAGTAAATGTCACGGTTTCTTGGGGTTGGCTAACTATTGCATTATGTAGTTGATAATATTCTATTTGCAGAAACTTTCGTACGATTCTGCACGTGTTTGATATTATTATTATTATTATTACCTCTATAAAAAAGTGTTATCAAAACGTATTTAGACATTCGGTTTAGATATTTCGGGAAAAAGGTTACCGACAAAATCTCTCTTCGGAACTATTTAAATAAAATTTTATTCCATTTATTAAAGTTTTATTCCGTTACGAGTAAAAACTATTGTAAATTCGTTAAATTTGTAATAATTGATTTTAGAGCGGAAGTTATGACTTCCTTATGAGGAATGACGTTTGTAATTAAAGAAATGTTCTGAAGGCATTTTGTTTTTTTTTTATCACGCGGTCCCTTCATAAGATTAAAATTTGAATAAAAAATTTGTAGATTTAGACTTCAAACTAACATGCTTAGACATTGTAGAATTAGAATAAGATCTTTCTTATAATAAATCGATCATGCCATCCATGAGGGTGAACATCAGTATTTTTTAGCAGCAGATTACACAACAGTATTTTTTTGTTATTAAACTGCAGATGTTATAGAAGGAACTCCAGATAGCAGTCCCACGAAAATGAAAAGAGATACTTAAGTACCGTAAAATCTGTTGTCTTTGCCAAATGGTTACTAATTTTACCATAACCAAAAACACCTTAGAATGACTTTAATATAGTTTTTTGAAGGGTAAGAATGTCTTTATGTCAAAATTGAATTTATAAATGACAACACTAAACTATTAATGGAAACCCTATTTCATTCAACGTCATTTCGATGTCATTTTTGTCAGTTAATATTTCGTGCGTGAGTGATCTACAATCAAGTGCTCCCAAACTTTTATTAAAATAATTAGGATAAACTTTGTCTACGTAAGTATATTTTTAATATTACATTAAGCTAAGGTTGTTTTTTAAATCATATTGATTTGCAGTGCTGCAAGCTACAAGAAATTCGCAATTAGTGTTAGCAAATTCAACATCCAGTGTAAACCATATCATGATGTTAACTTTGCCATATAGTCAGTTAGTCAGAGGTTAGGGCTGCCACATTTTTTAAAATCAGTTTTATTATTTTTATATATTAGGTTATTCTGCGAATCTTTATGTAAAAGTAAAGTTGAAGCTGAAATATGTTAATTCAGAATTAAAATCTTTAATTTCTTAGACGAATTATACCAAAACATATCGCACGCTTGTACTTTTAACTTGTTTTTTGCCAATTATGCCAGTGCCTTACTGAAAGTACAATACACACACACAATTATTTTTCAATACACAGTTATTATTCAACGCAATCAAACCTAAAATTCATATATTTATTTTTATTATTTTAGAACATGGAAGATTTCAATTTAACACATCGGTCCACATAACAATTATTCTACCGAAATGCTAGAAGTTGCCGCAGACCTAGTTAAAAGTGGAAAAATTTTGTCCCTGGAAGCCTCAAAACGATTCCACATAGCACGGCGAATTATCAAAAATAAAGTAAAAAATAAACATAATAAAAAGCCAGGGGGCCAACAAAGACTTACCTATTCTGACGAAAAACAGATAGTAAATGTTTTAATAGCAGTAGTTGATTTTGGCGCTCCCCTCTCACGATTAGATTTAAGTTTTGTTGTATTTCATTACTTGAAAGGAAACAATAAACAACAAATTTTTAATAACAAACCGCCAGGTAAATGGTGGATAAGTAATTTTCTGGCTCGCCATAAGGATAAACTAACAACCCGAGCGGCACAAAATATCAAAAAAGTTCGCGCTGCAAAAACTGTCGATGAATTTACTATTTATTTCCGAAATCTAAAAGATACTTTAAAAGACATACCTGTAGGTAATATATTAAATTACGATGAAAAAAATTTCTCAGATAATCCCAGATCGTCAAAATGCATTTTTAAGCGCGAAATAAAATATCCTGAAAGAGTTCTCAATCACACCAAGGGTAGTATATCGATTATGTTTGCAGCGGCAGCAGATGGAATACTCTTGGCAACTTATACTGTTTATAAAGCAGAGCATTTGTGGACGTCATGGTGTCAAAATGGACCAAACGGTCGTAGATATAATCGAACTAAATCCAGCTGGTTCGATTCCACTGTTTTTGAAGATTGGTTCTAGACAATCGTTATACCTTGGGCTGAAAAGCTACAAGGCCCCAAAGTGGTAATTGGTGATAAACTTTCTAGCAATTTTAGCGTGAATATAATACGCCTATGTGAAGAAAAAATACAAGGTTCACATTTCTGCCTCCTAGTTCTACGCACATTAGACAACCTTTAGATGTCGTATTTTTTAGTCCACTAAAAAAAATGGCGTCAGATTTTAACTACCTACAAATATGAAAATCCATCAGAAAGTCAGTTAAGTAAAACTCATTACTTAAATCTCTCATAGATGTAATAAACGTGACAAGCAAGGAAAATATAATTTCTGGGTTTAAGGCTACAGGGATAGTCCCTTTTAACCCTGATTTTTTTTTATGTAAGCTTCCAGAATGTGATGAAGGAAATAAATATAAAGAAGACACCGCACTTTTGTATTATCTAAAAGCTAACCGGTCTGTAAATCCTCTTAGGAAAAATATAAATAAAAAATGTCAGTATTTTTGAACCGGTGCATCAGTTTCTTTTGAAGAAATAGAAAACTTGATGTCAAAGAAACTAATGAAAGAAAGAAAATCGAATAAAAAAGGTCTAATAAAGAAACTGAAGGCTGAGGCTCTGAATCATACTATATCTGGATTGGAATGCGAATTTCAAAACCCAGTACCTTTACCAGAACCTATTATGAATCCAACACCAGAATTCGACTCTACATCTAACTCAGGTGGAGAAAAAGTAACTATTTTATCTGAAATAAAATTCAGCTCATATAACCGTGCTTACACTGATTTAAAAAAAAAATTGCAATTGCATAAATTTGAAGATAAAACTCACGATATTATATTGATTATATATTATATATTATTATATTATATTATTATATTGATCATTATCACACACACCGAAACGGTTTTATTTCAAACCAGATAATATTTTAGCACAGACAGATAGTATAATTTGGAAAAAACAATACAAATTTCTGCAGAAAATATGGTAGAGAAACAAATGAACAGTTTCCTTCTCGTTAGATTTAGAGGACATAAAACGAATAAGTTTTATGTTGGGTAGGTTTTAGAGTTAACGGAAAATTCGGGAATGCTGGTTAAATTTATGAGAAGAAGGAAGGCGGGCCTTTTTTATTGGCCTGACGTGAATGATGTTAGTTTTATCCTGGAATCCGATGTGGAGTTGGTCATAACAAACCCCCGGGAGGGTCGCCGGGAAACATTTAAGTTTGAAGATATTCATTACTCAAATAAATGATTGTATACCCCAGAGACTACATAAGAGATAATGAAAAAATGACGAAAAATTAAACCAATGATTGTACACAGGCTTATCAAAGAAGACTTTTTGTAGTCAGGCAATTTAGAGGCACAAATCACAAATAGAAAGAAGGCAGAAGATGGATCGAAAATAAGTTGGCTGGATACCAAAGAAATAATGCTTAAGAAAGATTAAATGTACTCCATTTTTATCAAAAACATTCTGGACGTTGTCTTGAAGGAGGTTAATAGTAAGAAAAACATCAGAAGCAGGGCTATTATATCCAAAAGTGATATGGACTTACTTTGGCCTACAGGTAAAGCCATATCTGAGAACAAACTAACAGATTTTTATTATATTGCTTTGATGGGTGGACGAGCTCACAGCCCACCGAAACGCATTACTGCTTCGCGGCAGAAATAGGCAGAGCGGTGGTGCCTAGTCGTGCGGAATCACAAGAGGTCCTACCACCAGTAAAAAAAATGTGGAACGCTTCACGATTTTGCGTGTCATCCTTGCGCAGGGGCTATGCTAATCTTCTCTATATCATTCCAATTTTAGTATATGTACTGCCAAAGCAAGTATAAAAAGTATTCTGCACCTTATACCAAAAGATGCACAACACGGTTTAACAAAACCCTGAAAAGTAACAACATAGAAGACGATATCGACAGTTTTACTGGTCATATGGATTTTGAGGCAGAAGACGATAATTGTAACGATTAGTTTTAAAAGTTCTTGCTTCCATTGTACTATTTTTTTAAGTTACATGTAAGAAAATGATTCGCTATCTAATAAATGACAAAACAGTAGCATAATTATAATGAATTACTTTTATTTTTAGAAATATCACAACAAAGAAATCTTAGGTCCATTTTGCAAGAAGGAACTAAGCAACAAATTATGTTTTGCAAGAAAGAACCAACCGGGTTTTTAAAGATTTAGTTTATACTGTAACTACATAAACTATATCAATCAAATATTCCTAGATAGGTTACAGTATCCCAAATAGGTTTAAAAAGTATTCATTCATTATTATAATATCTATGCATTTTGCACACTAACCTGCTGTGGGTTGGTTCTTGTTTGCGTAAATGGGTCCAACTTAAAACTTAAATATCTCAAAACTACTTCTGTGTGGGTTGGATTCTTTCTGTATAACTACGGCCAATTGATGTTAGCTTTATAAGTGCTAACCTCGCATCAATAAGTGAGTGGTTTATACATGATGATGCCATGGGTAGCTATCACTACCCAACAATTACAGAGATTTCACTACATAATATGTATTGAAATAATAATAATAAAAAATAATAATCTCACCATTTATAGGTTTATATATAAAAAAGCAGATTGGACAAAATATCAAACTATTTACAAAACAATATTTAATGATTTAGAACTAAAATTGAATGATCCTATTTCAGCCCATAATGATTTTTGTTCCTGATTAGAGACTTTAAAAGATATGAGAATTCCTAAACTCACTAAACCAAATAAGTTTAAGAGCAGACCTCCAGCTCCCTGGTGGAATGACATTTGTGAAAAAAGAGTATTGCCTCTTACAATGCCTTGAAACTTTACAGAAATGAACCTACTATGGAAAATTATTTAGATTACAAAAGAACAGATGCACTTAAAAAAAGAACTATATCTGAACAAAAAAGAATAGGTTGGAATAACTTATGTAAAACCTTCAATAGAACTACTCCCAGAAGTAAGATTTGGAATCTCCTTAAAATGTTCAAAGGTATAAAAGCTGGTAATAAAACATACAGAGATGTGTTTTGTTTCTGAATTTCTAGACACAATGTCTGATAATAGCAATTTAAATGTTGGTAGTTTAGGCAATATTATCGAGTTAAATAATGACAGCCTAAATTCCAAATGTTTACTAGATCCTCTTACATGGAGTGATTCTAAAATGAGTTTGTTATCTCGGAAAACCACCTGGTTTCGATAATTTACCCTATAGATTTATTAAAAATTTAGATGAATCAGCATAAAAACTTTCTTAATATTCTTAATTTACTTTGGCACTCTAAATGTATTCCGCACAATGGACTACACAATGTGTCATTCCAATACTCAAACCAGATAAACCTTCAAAACTTGCCGGCTCTTATAGACCAATATCATTATCTTCATGTCTAGGTAAAATATTTGAATACATGACTAAAAGTCGTCTGGACTGGTATATGAAATTTAACAGAACCCCTGGGCCTCTAACAACAAGAGAGGATTTCTTAAGTGGAAAATCTCCAACACTATCTAACATATGGCTGGAATCTGAAAATATTTTTACTGGTATTAGGAAACAGTGCACATGGCCATGTTACATTACACCTTCACCTATCACTGTATTTCACATCCAATTGAATTACAAAATTCCATTAATAATAACTTATATAGCATATAGATATGTTGCAGTTTTTAGCAGAAAATAAGAATTATTATGTACGTATGTATGTATGTATGTACACTGATGGCGGGGTAAGGGCGTGATTATGTATGTGGTACTATATCAATAATACAATCCACAAGCAAAATTCTCTCAAAGCTTTGTTCTGCACAATACTTGTAGTATATTCACTGCAGAGGCTTAAGTGGTTTATCAGACATTATTACATATTCACCAAATTAACAATTGTAAATATTTTTTGATTTTTATTGTTTCTGAGTCACAGAGTTTGATAAAAGTATTAACTAACTTTAAGATTTCATTTAAGTCTAATTATATTTGAGGCCTATAAAATGAAAGGCAGTTAAACGCCATAGTGTAGTAAAATGGATTAACTATGGCGTCATCTTGTTTAGTTAGTTGGACACGCTTTAGTATTTTCATGTTATAACAAATGCAATAAATCTCTAGCAAATTCAGTTCAAAAATTTAATTTTTACTCTGTACTCAAATATAAACAAAGCTTTATCATTTAAAATTCAGATTATTAGTAATATTCTCATTCTTTATAAATCTGCTTTAAAATAAAGAATATCGTACCTACCCGAACAAAGTTATTTCAGTTTCTCAACCGGGAGTGTTTCTAACACTGGCCCTAGCAAGAGCACTTCGATGGATCAGGAGGGTCCGTAATGACGTGTTTAGGGCCAATTTTTGTAGTTTACCTCAATATTTGACAGAATTGGATTTAGCTGCCTTTGATTTTATAGGCCTCATTTTGTATTATATTAAAGAAATAATTTATCAATGTTATCTTAAGCATATCAAAACTCCTTTCTTTTGGGTACCTTCTCACCGAGGTATCGCTGGCAATGAAATAGTTGATAAAACCGCTTATGAGGGTAATAATGCTGCTGATGTTAAAAATGCAATGGACATTCCTATGACGAGTTTCCTGCAATGCATTAATGAAAGAATATATAAGTTATGGTTAGAAATGTGGAAGAAGGACCAAGACATCAATGGAAAGTTGTATGGAAATATCCAAGAAAGATTACCTGTTAGACTCGGGTACAATATATTGAAAGAAGCCAGCCGAGACTTTATCACCACGATAAATAGATTGCGCATTGGCCTTAATACTGCACCGTCGCACCTCAATTATTTGTAATAGTGCCAAGTCTAGGCACTATTACAAATAATTGAAACAAACTACAATAACCTATAACCTTCGATTATACACTTAATATAATTGAGAATTTTGAGAGCTATGACAATAAGGTAGGTACATACACTGTCATACACTTTCTTTATTATTTTTTGGCTCCGGCACGGTTTGTGCATTAGCCAGCGTCAAGTAATAAGATTTTTATGATTCGCCATTTTTACAGTTTACGAATAATAAAAAACGAAGGAAAATAATCGCAACATAATATTATTGATTAAAAACGAATTAGTTTACAAATGAGCTGATATGTGATGAAATATAATCTCAATAGAGTGGTGGTCATTTATTAAGACTTTATCAGTGGACTTTTTGGAGGATACCGAGAAGTTACTTCAAGTGGCTTTGTTTCATTTTTCCACAATTGTGCACTTTCACAGATTCTAAACAGTTAATAAACCACCGTTATTACACATTTAAACCTGAAAAAATACTAAATAGACAAAATAAAACAATTCACACAACTTCGTTGTACACACTGTGGAATGTGGATCATCTTATTTTTAAATGTCAAAACTTCCTGCATGACAGAAAATTATCAGTATTGGCTAGTGAATTCAGTGATGTTAAAATTAAGTCCGATTCTTCATCCCGCCAGCCACCACTTGCAGGGTTATTAAAAGACATAAACACTTACAAACCGATATATAAATATTATAAAAACAATTTAATATAAAAATGAAGTCATAGTGCACTTTTCATTAAAATTAAAATGACTTGACCTAAAGGTCTTAGTTACCAGGTCATACAATTCCTTTAAAAAAAGCTTTCAACTAGTGATGCGCAAAATGGATCACAGGTGAAAAGATAGATACATATCATTTCGCTCTAAAGATATATATCACTCACTTAGCTCACTAGCTCATTTAGATCTAGCTAGCTAGCTTAGTGATCCAATTCAATTGATTGGTCTCTCAATTAGTTCATTTCTTCGTCTAGATCATTTAGCTCAGTATATATATATCACTCAGTTTGTATTGGAATATTTACAATGGTCATTTCAGTTTGTCACTGTCACTTGTCAGGGTCTATATATACACTTACTAATACACAATATAGTTTATTTACACTGTTTTATGATTGAATATTTACAACATGCAGCTTACCAGAGAACTAAATACATTAAGAAACTTTTTTAAATATACTTTTTTTATATAGCATCGCAGTATCCGTAATATTAACTTCGCAAATTAATGGCTACCTTTTTATGTAAGAATAAAGCAAATATAAATTTGGTTTTATAAATGCATTAGTTATGTTAAGCTTTGCTTCTATAGAAATAATGTACATTTTTCCTTGACATCCCAATACTTCGAAACGAAATTAGCGTGAAGTGAACGGTCATTCTCGTCAGCCAGCCACACAATGCATCTATCTCACTCATTCATTTTTCTTTCATTCGCTCATCAACTCATGATACATGTCATGAGACAAATGAGTTAAGATCTAGTGAGTTAGAACTGAGTTACTGATACATTCGGAGCTAGTGTGAGTTAGTGATACATTCTATCGGTGTGAGTGATATATATCTTTTATATCACTCACTCAGGAGCTACACATCCTTACTTTCAACTATGGAGGGTAGAGGTAAGGAGAACCGTCTCATAAGAGAGAAGCTTGAAAAGGTGTCCCACTTTCAGCACTAAATAACAGTTCAAAAATCCTTCAGAATGGCGCTAGCATAGGCACAGGGTATGATATGAATTGAGCAGTTGTTAACTGCTTGAAGTAAATAATAATATGCTGAGTTAGGAAATTTAATATATTAAATGACTAGAGTAATTAGTGACAGTGTAATATACAAAACCTCACATAATTACGTAGTCCAGACTAATTTCGTCAATATTTTATAACCTAAAATTATTGCAGTGGTAAAACGTGGAGACATTGATTGCATTTTCTTATCAGCTTTAAATAAAATACTTTTTGTGATTTTGTAGTGCTTATAGTTATTTCGTCCTTTTTTATTTCGCCGTCTTATTCTTCTTCAGCGTCTTTTTTAAAATTTACCCGGTTGCTACTTTAGCGCCATCCTTATTTAGCAGATTTTAACGGACACTTTTTTCACACACAGAGATGGTTTTCCTTACCTCTACCCTCCAATCTACCCTCCATAATTTCAACAAAATGCTCAATTGTACATATAATCTATGAAATGCTCTCTGTCGCCATTATTGCTTTTGAGTAGGTAGGTGGGTATTTACTCATTGATTAACTGCATATTATTATTAAAATTCGACTTTGTTTAATTGGAATTGTAAGTTTGTACACTATTACGATTGTGTTTTGTACTTCTGTAATCACAAATTTCGCCAAGAGTACACTACACTATAAAAATATTAACAAAGACAAACAATATTTCATCTATTCTTAATTTGATAACAGACGTCAAGAACAAAAGTTTGACAATAAATAGTATGCATGCGTGTGTGCGTCAAATACGTGGTATGTAGTGTGTGTAATGTTTTCTTTATGGATTTAATGTATCTTTTATGCATTATTTAAAAAAAATATTAGCATTATGCACTTCTTCTCTATATTCTCAATAGGTGTAGAAAATTTCATACTCCTCCGACCGCGCAATTTTCGTAAAAAGGGATACAAAGTTTTTGCTTCACGTATTAATATATAGATACGTGAACAAGACTATATGTCACTAATACAAGGTGTCCTAGAACTCGACATCAAGTCGAAACGGGGTGACAGGATTGATTGTAACCATCATGAGAAAAATCACAAAAAAAATTTTATCCTATGCAGTTTGGAAATTCCTTTGGACAGTGCAGTCGCCGGATTCCGGGTGCAACAAGATATGCGTAAACTGTTGAGTCGCCGGATTCCGGGTGCGAATAGTCCGGAGTTTGGACTCATAACAGATATTCTACTATTATGTTTTATTCTTTCTAACACATTTAAAACTGTACCTAATGAATGGACCTTCTCTCTCGCACACAAACTTCATGTTAGAAGTAATGCGTTTCGGTTTGAAGGGTGGGGCAGCCGTTGTAACTATACTGAGATCTTAGAACTTATATCTCAAAGTGGGTGGCGCATTTACGTTGATGATGTCTGTGGGCTCCAGTAACCACTTAACACCAGGTGGGCTGTGAAATCGTCCACCCATCTAAGCAATAAAAAAAAAGACTTGCCGATGAGCGTCAGAGGAGAAGTGAAACAAACAACGATTCTTACCAGTTATTGCTCACAGTTATTACATCCAGCACATTATTTGCATGTAGTGTGTGTGTAGTGTATGTCAACGATACGCCAGGTTTTTCACACGTGTCTCCTGTAAGAAATTGGGGGAGGTGGCGGTAGGCAGCGGCTTGGCTCTGCCCCTGGCATTGCTGAAATCCATGGGCAACGGTAACCACTCACCATCAGGTGGGCCGTGTGCTCGTCTGCCTACAAGGGCAATAAAAAAAAAAAAGGTGAAGAACCTCGGTCCTTCTCTCCTCCCCTTCTTCCTCTCTGTAGGCGCCGTAGTCCGACATAACCCGGTCCGCTACCCCCCTCGACCGGGTATCCGTAAATGGATTCCACAGCGTTAAAATAAAAACAAAACGGTTTTCACACGTAACATCCGTTACAACGAAAATATACAATACAATTCTATGAAACTATTACGTGAAAACTTTAAAAAAGAACTGTCTTAATTTTTACCCAGTCAGCCATTTTATTTTTCATATTGGTTCTAGCAACTACACTTTACTTTTTTACAAACAAATGGAATAATTGCGAAACAACAATTTATGAAATATAACTAGATATTCAGAATAAATATTTAATTTAATTTTACACAACTCTCATGTAAATTATTTTACATAAATGACATTTAACTAAACATTAAGATAATAGATGGCCAACAAAATGATTTGCATTAACAATTACAACAGTTAGGTACTTATTTAGAGTAATTTTATGTAACGGTTATTAATATTGAGTATTTTGACAGTCTGTTTAGTTATATTAACAGGATGTTTTAAAACAACAAATTAAATATTAAGATCTTCTAAACATTTTCACATCAAAACAGTGTCTAAATATTAATTAGGATAGAATAGTTGACAATTTCATATTACTAATATCAAATAAAATTAAAAACCAACTAAACTATAAAAGGACAATGCCCAAAAGTGGGCCAACTTTAGGTCAAAACTAATTGTAGGTACTTGAAAAACTATGCCTTATTTTTTCACGTTGTTTAGTTTATGTATCAACATTTCTTTCACCCTGGCATTGTTTTCCAAAAAAATAAATTACTTATTTGATAACATCCCAAAACTATCCATGCCATAGTTTTTAAATTCGCCAATAGGCAAAGGGCTTAGCCCATACAGCCTTATAGCAAACCTATATGCTGTCAAACGAAAGAGTTGTCTGTGACTTGAACAACAAATTTAAAAAAAATAGCTAATGGTCATAATTCACAGACTTTTTAGTTTATTTTTGTTCAATTCAATATTTATATATTGTAATAATAATTATTACTTAAAACCATGAATTATTTAATATTTTTAGATATTAATGATTCCATTAGTAAAAATCTCAATGGCCTACCATTACTCTATTCTTATTAAATATGATCAGAGAGTTTTGGCAGCAACCCGAGTGAAGCGTAACTTGAAGTTTTATTTTAATGTTTTTTTAATAGTTTATTGTGATGTATAATAAATATATAAATTCGGTGTTGTTTTGTGTAATAAGCGTCAATAATCANAATATTTTTAGATATTAATGATTCCATTAGTAAAAATCTCAATGGCCTACCATTACTCTATTCTTATTAAATATGATCAGAGAGTTTTGGCAGCAACCCGAGTGAAGCGTAACTTGAAGTTTTATTTTAATGTTTTTTTAATAGTTTATTGTGATGTATAATAAATATATAAATTCGGTGTTGTTTTGTGTAATAAGCGTCAATAATCATTGTCCACGATTATTGAGGCATTGGAATGGAATAAAACGGTGGCTAACATAGCAGTGACTGTTTTTTTTTTAAGATAAAAGGTCTGCGGAAATTCACGCTCACTCAATGTGCTATTTTCATCGAGTTG